AAACACCAGGCTGGTGGTGGCAGCTCCGCAGGCAGAGGGCAAGGCTCAGCAGGAATTAACAGCCAGTGCTTTTGCAGGCAGCTGGGGATGATGATGGGGCACTGGGGGACCACACATGGGAGAAGATCCCCGCTCCAAAAAAACCTCCCAGAGCTGACAAAACCAGGTAACATCAGAATAAACTCAGCTTAACAGTTACAGAACACCCAGTTACTCCAACAGCCCCGAGCCAGCCCCTCTCCTCTTTGCTTGTGTCATAATAAAACACACATTTGGGGAAAAAAACACAGAAATAAATGACAGCAGTWACAGTACACAGGCAGGAAACACGGTGGGAACAGAAACAACATATCCCTGAAAAATGGGGTCAGAATCCAGAAGAGGGGAGAAAACCCCCAGWTGGCTTTCTGGAGGGATGCAGGACAGCATGTTAACACGTGGGATGGGAGCTGAATGAGGTAGTCATCACACCAGTGAGGGAAGCATCACAAATTTCCTTAGACAACTGTTTTTTTGTTGATTCTTTCCCAATTCCTGGCCCTAGCAAGCGGCAGGGGGAACAGGCTGACTGTGGCCCTGGCTCGGACTGGCTATGGCTTCAGGTAACATCAATCTGCCCTGAAGAAATAAATGGCTGAAGTTTAATTTATTTTGAGGATAATAATGACTGGAACTTGTTTTCTTGTTGTTTTTTCATTTAAATAAATCAAAGTAACAAATACTTTATCATGATATGTCGACCTAGAAAGACTCTTTCTCTAGAAACCACTAATTTCAACTTGCTGGTACAGCAAACATTGGCAAGAGCTATATATTTTWCCTTCCATAATCAATTTTAAATTCTAGGAAACATTATTGAGGGTAGGAAAAATCTGTTCAGTGAAGGGTTAATAATAATAGCAATAATAACAATAAAAATAATACAMTAACTGARATCCTCCTACCTTACTCATACCTCACTGAGGAATCATCACTGCAAGARAGCAGAGAGCTGTGGAATTCCATCCCTCTCTCCCTTCTACAAAATGGCTATTAAAGTAGCTCAATTTTCAAATCAATTTTATATGAGTAGATTTGTACCCACACAAAAAAAAGTCCTTAATTATGAGAAAAAATAATGAATTGCTTTAATTTTTTCTCCATTAAGAAGGCACATTAATTGAATTAGTAGCGTTGTTACATATCACCTGTCTGCCCCTAGATTAACATCACTATTGCTCATTCCATACTTATTTATGATGCAGGGATAGMAAGAAATCAGAACAGTCTAAAATCCATGCCATGATGACATACATACATACACACTCTTGGCATAATCATGGCTAGGAAACGCTGACTTGGAAGTGTGTGTGTCTAATTGAGAAGGCAATTTAGATCTCTTAAAATAATTCCATCTCTTTGACTTGGAAATTACTGGAGGCGAGGGATATCTAAATCTGGGAACTGGAAAAAAACCAAAATAACCAACTTTTGGGAAAAAAAAAAAAACCTTTCCATGCATTGCCTCGAAATTATGCAAAAGAAACTGGTAAGGGGAAAAGTTCAGTACAGTGCATCCGACAATTGCAATCCAGGCAGGATTTTCCCCAAAACGTCTTCCCATAATGCCCTGTTRTTTTCCTGCAGGAGCCGGGGGAGGCTGCAGGCAATGGTGGGGGCTGTGGGAAGCGCTTGCTCCACTGGGGCTGCAAACTGCAGGTTCCCCAAAGTTTAAGTAAGATGATCGTGATTTATTTATTTTTTATTCTTTTTGTTTTTTTTAAGCCTGAAAGCCTTTTGCCATCACTAGACATACAGTAATTTGCAATATCAAATACAATAATAGTACAGGTAAGTATGTGACAGCAAAAGGATTCATAAACGCAGGGGTGTCCATAGCAAAACACCAACACCTCAAAATACAAACAACCTCGTGCTGGGTGAATTTGAACTGAAACTCACCCGACTGTCGCTTTGAACAGTCCCACACACGAAACAGCCGCTACTCTGTCCAGACYACAAAACCGCCGGGGTGGTTACTAAAGAAGTCCGAATAAGGAATTTGCCACTCAATTCTTTCCAGGAATGGAAATTTATCTTCGTTTTGAGATATAAAAATATATAAACTCCAAGGAGGGGATACCGAGCGCTCCCGAGGCCCGGGGGGTGCCGCCTCTGCCCCCGCCACCCGCCGCCTCCCGGCAAAAGCAAAGCACGGCTCCTCCGCTCCGGCTGCACACCCCTGCCGCCCGTCGATCGAGACACGTGGGATTGTCACATTAACGATAGCTTCATTTATAAACAATACATTTAGGGAAAGCTTTTAAATACAGCAATCTGTGAACCATTGGTAAGCGATAAAAACAATCTGCGCTGGGAGTCGTGTGGTCCCTCATCCTCATCCTCATCCTCGTGCTCCTCTCGCCGAGTGCCGCTCAGAGGACGATGTCCTTTAGTCTCCGGGCGCCGGGCGAGTCCTTTTCCCGGCGCTCCTGCAGGAGGGGGTTGCCCTCCTGCCCGCTGCTCTCGCTGTCCGCTCCCCGGGGCTCTGCCTCCGTGGGCCGGGAAGGGCCACTGTTCCCAAAGGGCTCCCGTTCCCGGTTGCCGGCGCAGTGGCCRGCACCGTAGGGCGCCGTTGGTTTGCCGGCCAAGGGGCTCTTGAGGTGCAGGGGCGAGGTGACGGGGCTGACGGCCTCGCAGCCGTTGCCAGCTTCACGCACGGCGCCGCTCACCTTGGGGCTGCAGGCGGCCGAGTCCACCGTTCTTTTGCCTTTGGGGTTGGCRAGCCGCTCGTCGGCCGGGGGCTCGCCGCCCTCCTTGCCGAAGGTGGCGAAGGTCCTTTTGGCGCCGCAGTCCGCGTAAGGCTCCGCGTCCACCGCCGTGGCCTCGATGGACAGGGAGATGACGTTGCGGCCGTGCTCGGGGGACTTGGCGCGGCTGGGCACGGCACCACGGGGCATCCAGCACCTGTCCGAGTGGCCCAGGATGCGGCATTCCTCCCGGCAGTGGAACCCCTCGCTCTGCTCTGTGGGGAGAAAACACAGGGGGAGGTGAACGGGGGG